AAAGACAAACAGACGTTAAGGAAACATAAGAAGAGCCGACATAATGACGATAATTGAATGGATTTGTTGGCATTTATGAGATGTAATGAAATGTAATTTATTAATTAATATAAATTTAATTATTTTGTAATGCCTACAAATTTTATTACCTGTAAAAAATAAAAATATGTTTTTTGGTAAACTTAACATAATTATGACATTATTTGTGTGAAATACTGTACAGTATTTGCAAAAGTCGTGCATTTGTTGACAAACAGTGAAACTGAATGTGAAGTGAATTTGATTTGCATTTTGAATGCAATTAACCGTAGATTTAGTGTTCATTTGACATCAGATTATGAAAACAATGTCTGAAATACTGATCAATGATTTGGTGGAAGAGTTGAGTGAAGAAAACGAAAGACTTTTATATGAATTACAATTTGAGAGACAATTGAATGAAATGTTAGAAAATTTCCGAAAATATTCATTGGATTTGAAAACCAATTGTTTTTGTGATCAAAATAAACAAACATTTGATTTGTTGGATCAGTTGGACACCCGTTACAAGACATTATTAATGTCTATTCAAACCGATAATATTGAAAGCAATGGATATCTGGTGAGTACGACAATACCGAAGAGATCAACACTTCGGACACAAACACATGATATGAATGAAGACATGAATGAATCAAATGACGAGATAATGGATGACACCATTGATGACAATATGATGGACTCATCGGATGGTGATTGGGAGGAAAGTCATGCTAAGAGGCGATTGCAACCAATGGCTGTATTGAAGACTAAGACATCACTTATGAGATCTATTGAAAACTCACAGAAATCACAAGAAATGCAAATGAATTCAAATCCAAAACTAACGGTTAATTCAGAACTTAGGTTCAGATGTGTTACCGACGATTGCGATCACATCTGCAGTGATAAGAAAAGTCTTAATCAACACATGGAAACGGATCACAACATGGAGTTCACGGCTTTTAAATGCGATTTCAAGAAATGTAAAAAAGTATTTAAAGCCACTTATGATACGAAAGATTATAAGTTACACCGATTCACACACTCTTCGGACAAACCATTCAAATGTACAGTCAATGGATGTGACTATTCATGCGTTAGGAGACAACGACTGGAGGCACATATGGAAAGGCATGA